TTCACTTAATTGATTATAAATTTGGTAGAAAACTAGCTAGTCCTCTATTAATGACTCATAATTAGGCTCAAATTAAAATAATAATGATAGTATTTGAATTTTTTTTTTTTAAAGGCTCTTCTCAAATATACTAAAGATGTTTAGCCAATGTTAAAAAACATTTGTTTTAAAGTATTATTTATAAGTTTGAAATTTTGTTTAAGAAAAATTTAACAATTGTTTTTTTAAAGTGAATATTAATTAGGTTTTGATAAAATTTTAGATGTACAACTTTTTTAAAAATTTGTCTAAAATACACTTAAATAGTTAATTTTAAGTATTTTTCTCTCATAAAATTTTAAATTTTTGAGAAAAAAAATACTTTTTAAATTTTACCAAACACCTTCACTAATCTAAGTTGAGTTCAAGAGATGAAAGAAGAGAATAATAAACAATAACTTAATAAACATTAAGTTAGTTTCTCTTTCATTGTAATCTTCAATTAATATATGAAATTTTTCCATAGAAAGAATACCAATTCACAAACAAGAGGGAAGAACAAGAGCAGAATCCTAAAAGGAACATTATAGCATGAAAATTTTAATACTGTTATTATACGTCTTAATCTTAGAATGAGTCCAAATTCTCAGTACTATCTGTCTTTAATTTTCATTGCTGCTTACCAGAAGTAGATTAATTAATTCCTTTTCGTAATCTATAGATGTTAAAAATATCATAAGTTGATTGCCAAATAAACTTTTAATTCTTTGAGTACTGATAGAGTTTAAATGTGTATTTACTTTTGCTAATTTTTTCATCTTATAAATTTTTTTGCTAAATAGTATATTAAAATATTTAGACCTGTTAGTAAATTTTAAACTAATATGAGCTAACATTTATCACTATCAATTGACAGAAAACACCAAAGTAAACAATGCCAAACTTTGCGAAAATGCTATATATTATTTAAACAATATATCACTTTCAAGATTGGTGATAAACTGATGATCACTGGTGTACTTTTAATAGGTATTTTAATACAAGTTAATGATGTATTAGTTATGTTTTTTTTAATTAGTTAGATTTCTCCCAACAAGTCTTTTGCGAAATTTCTCACTTGAACACAAGATGGTTTAACTTGATCTTCCCTCCAATTATGGGATAAAATAAACATGTCTTTTGTTAATGATCCTTGCAACTTCATGAATTTATCTCTTCTTTGGTGCATTAATAATAATAACATGGATCTAAGTTAGTGAAGATTTTTATTTATAACATTTTCTTTCTTATCCTTGGCCTTCTTCGAATTTAGAAAAAAAGGATTGTCCCTCTCATAACGGAGGTGTTAAAAGGGCAAAAGAAGAAGAACGTGGCATTGAAATAACACCTTGAGAAAAAATATCATAACTAGCAACTGGTTTTTCATAAATCATATATATCT